TCTGAATTTAGTAGAAGTATTAAGCCTACTCTTATGGTCTGTTAAGTGTGAACCAATTACTTTCTGTCAAATGCACTGATTTAAATCCTGTTTTCTATGTAAAAGACTTACAAAATGGGAAACTTGATTTAAATCTGTGATTTAAGTTGCTTTGCATTTATATCTATGTATCCTGCCTGATGGGAGGGAAGATGGCATGGTATAGGTTAGTTTCATCAGATCTCAGAAGCTAAGGAGGGTGGATACTTGGAAGGGAGACCACCGAGGAAGACTCTGCAGAGGAAGGCAATGGCAGACCACCTCTGCTTCTCACTTGCCTTAAAAGCCCCTTGCTGGGATCACCATGAGTTGGCTGTGGTTTGATGGCACTTTATATGCACACATCCCGCCTGTGTTATAAAGCTTAAGAGAAGATGAAGTCTGGGATGCTATCCTGATTTCAAGATACTTGACATTCCAAAACAAACCCTCCTAGGCTGTTTGGGATTAATAGAACTCTTGTTGTAAGACAAGGTAGTACATGTATGCTTTTTTCTACAGTGATATTGGTAAGAGAGTGAATGGTGTTTTTGATCACTTATCTTGTCAAGACTCAATTTGAAAGGCTTGTTAAAATAAGCTGTAGATTGTTAATGAACACTGCTTAAAAGTGTGTTGAGTTTGTTTATAATTAACTGCCTATATTAATGAATTGCTTCTTCCAGAACAGATAACAAGTTCCAAGCAGCTTTTGAAACATTTGCCAATAACCAGTGCATTATTGCACCATTTAGCAGCATGAGTGAGAGGAAGGGGGGAAAATGGTAAAAGTATCAGCAGGATAATTTGCATGGAGCATTCTGCACGAAGGCTGTCACTGCTGTAGCTCCTTGTCTAGTTTCATTAGCGCTTCATCGCTTGTGTTGGTACTGAACTTTGTTTCTGATGAACACTTGCAGCATGTGATCCAGTGTTGTTGTTTTTTTAAAAAAACAGAATTTGCTCAAAACTCCTTTCTCCATACACATTAATATAACTTTGTAGTGGAAAAGGTAGGCTGTGGTAATAAAGGAGGAGAGACAGGAAAATGACTGGATGAGGGATATTGTCATGCCTGGTGTGTATGTACAGCACAATGCAGTGCTAATCGGGTGAAAGAAGGCTGAGGTTGTGGCATGGACAGGATTACATTTTTAAAGTTCCCCTTTACCAGTAATAACCCTGTAAATAGAAAACTAGCACAACATGCAAAAAGCAAAGCTAGAACCTCTGTTACTGATGTCAGTATATCTATACCCAAAGTGCATATAGAGGATATGATCAATAGAGCTGCGAAAGTTCATTGATACAGTATATGAACTGGAGGCCCCTTGGCCATTTTTGGATTGAGTCTTTGACAGCTTCAGCAGGCTCTCCCAAGCCAATATCAACAGGAACCTGGGTTCTGTTGGGCTGACCACATGCCTCTTGGACCCATGTCCCTCATGGCTGGTGAAAGCCGATGGTGGGAGGATATTGGGCCCTCTGGTGTATATTATAAATCTGTAACTAGATTTGAGGGTCTACCCAGAGGGATTGAAGGAGGCTGTGGTTGTCCTACTCTTGAAGAAGCCAACTTTGGATCCCTTGGATCCCTTCAATTACCATCCAGTATCGAATCTTTTATTCTTGGGCAAGGTAATTGAGAGAGTGGTTGCAGAGCAGCTCCAGAGCTTCCTAGATGACACATTGGTCCTGGATCCATTCCAGTCTGGCTTCTGCCCCAGCCATGAGAACAGAGACAGCTTTGGTTGACCTCACAGATAAGGTCCGCAAACAGGTGGATCGAGACGGGTCAGCACTGCTGGTGTTATTAGATCTCACAGCAGTGTTTGACACAGTCGATCATGATCTTTTGACCCACTTCCTTGCCGGCATAGGAGTCGGGGGTAGTCTTGCAGTGGCTTACCTCATTTCTCCAAGGTCAGGGACAAGGGTGGTTCTGGGAGTGAGGATATCGCCAAGGTACCCCTTAATATGTGGGTTCCCCGTTCCCCCAAGGGGCAATCCTTTCTCCAATATTATTTAATATCTATATGCACCCTCTTGCCCAACTGGTGTGGAGGTTCAGGCTGGGGTGTCATCAGTACGCTGATGATACACAGCTTTATCTGTTGATGGACGGGCGGCCAGATACCACCGCAGAAAATCTTGTAGAGGAGTTGGAGGTTGTGGTGGGATGGTTAAAACAGAGTCGGCTGAGACTGAATCCTTCTAAGGCAGAGGTTTTGTGGCTGTGCCGGGAAGACTCCAGGTTGGGGTGCCAACATCCAGCCCTTGATGTTGTGCCCTTGAGATGGACACTTACTGTCAGGAGTCTGGGTGTGATCCTGGATGCCTCCTTGACAATGAAGGCCCAGGTCACAAATATTTTACCATCTGCGCCAGGCTAGGCAACTGGCCCCCTACTTGTCCCGCCCTGACCTAGCCACTGTAATCCATGCAACGGTCAGCTCCAGATTGGATTACTGCAACACACTCTATGTGGGCCTACCCTTGCAGCTGACACGGAAACTCCAACTGGTACAAAATGCAGCAGTATGGTTCCTTATGCGGATGCCTTGCACAGCGCATATCCATCCAGTGCTGCACAAGTTGCATTGGCTTCCGGTGGAGTATCGGATCAGATTCAAGGTTATGGTGCTGACCTTTAAAGCCCTTAATGGTTAGGGACTTATGTACCTCCAAGACCACATTTTATGGTATACCCCCAGAGCATTATGCTAGAAAGATAAGAACTTACTGCTGGTCCCTGGCCCAAGAGACAGAGCCAGGGCCTTCTCTGCCCTGGCAACAATGTGGAGGAACTGTGTCGAATAACATCTGGGCCCTGTGGGGTATTTTACAGTTCCACAGGGTGTGCAAGGCAGTGATGTTCCCCCAGGCATTTGGTCAAGGACAGTGACAGTTCCCTCTTGGCACTCCCATTTCCCATCCCCCCCCCCCCATTCCCCATGAGATAGCACTGCTGTTAGGATTTTAGTGCCATTTGTAGTTAATGTAGACAAGCAAGGATTTTAGCACCATCTGTAGTTAATGTAGACAAGCGATGCATCAGACTATCATATTTTTATTGACTTGTGTAAATCTTTGTTTTATTGATGTTTTATATAATTGTGTTGGACACCGCCCTGAGCTTGGTTCAACTGAGGAGGGTGGTTGATAAATTCAATAAATAAATAAATAAATAAAATGAACTGAGGGACAGACCAGGGGGATTCCTCTGCTAACCCAAAGAAAGTCACAAGGTTTCAAAAAAAAATCTGAAATCTAAAAAACAAAATAGGGGGATTAACAGTCCCCCAGATAGCAAAAACAATGCCTTGAGCTTTAAGAAAAGAATTCTCACAGAACTCTCAGGCTGTTTGGGATTGCTAGGAAACTATTACAATACTGCAAAGCCTTGGTTTCTCTAAAACAAACCTGTGGGGATAGGGGAAGCAAGGAATGAACTGGGCACCTGGAACAGCACTAGAAAATCTTCTCCCCTTTCCTGACATGCCCCCTGATGGAGGGGGAACTCACCAGGACAGGCCCAGCGGTGACTGCCAGAAACTCACTACCCGCACAACTGGCCTAGCAGTGGCAGCCAACACAGAACTCAGCCCAGCCTGTCCTGGCCCACTGCTGGCCACCATGCAGCCAAGTCAGACTTTTCCTGGGGAGAGGCTGTCAGAGATAGGGATGGAGAGAAAGCGTGAGGACGCATAGGCAGCTAAGGTTAGCTTGGCTGGTGGGTGAGAAGGAAAGAAGGAAGCAGGCTGGGTCCAGTGCTGGAGGCCACTGCATCCCTGAGTGTGGCCTGGCTCTGGAGGCCACTGTGCACTTCGGCTAGACTTTTCCCAGGAAAGAGGCTGCCAGGAGTAGAAAAGAAGGGAAAGTTGAAGATGGCGGAATATAAATGTGGGTTGGCTGGAGATTGGGAAGCAGGAAAAGAGAAAGGGCTATGGTGGCTACATGGGAAAGGAAAGAGGAAATAGTGGCAGTGAGGGATGCAGGAGATAATGAGATGACCCCTGCAAGTTCTTGCAGGTTCCCCATTTATGCTATTTTATTAGCAAGGTGTTTTTACATGAGGGAGCATTAAAAATGTGACACACACATTCTACTGCATTTATAGACATGGCCTGATATATTACTAGAGTTTGTCCAGATGAACCTGGTAAAGTTAGTACTACTTCATTTGAAGTACTAACATTCATGACAAGAAACCAAAAGAGCAATAGAAACCAATACATCACATGAGGCAAAGTGCTGTATTTTCCCAGGTATTTTGCTTTGAACACTTGGAAAAGATTATATGCGTACAACTCAGGCACTAGCTTGGATAATGATGTGTGCCTGTGCACAACAAATGGAAAATAAATAAGTACACATTACAGAAACAGCTGATTGTATTGAAAGGCCCTTAGCAGATTCTACTAAACTCTGGTAAATGTTGAAAGTAAGCAGTATGTAGTAGCTAAAAACTCAAAGCGTTGGCTAGTGTGCATGGGCTTTCCTCTCATTCTTGGTGAGAGATCTTTGGATGAATGTTCTGGCTTTCAAGATCCCCTTTGCCTTTCTACCATGACAAATTCAGATGTGTTTCTAAGTGTTTGGTAATATCAGTAGTGTGTGGTTTCTTGATCCATTATTATTGCTTGATATTCTACTCTGCTTGCAAGCTATTTGTGTTTTGTGTAGCAGCCTCTTTAGAAAATGGAACATTTAACTCCTTGGCAGCAAATCTGTCAAGGCAGTCCTGAATCTGTTAAGTGTTCAGCATCCATACAAGCAGCAATTGACATCAGGATTTTAACCCTGGGGGGTGGGAACTAATATAAAAGCACAGTGATTCTTCTGAATGGTTGCATCAGATGGCTGGCTAAATGGGATTCCTGCTGTGGGTAAAAGTATGTAAGGTTATGAAGGAGAGAGGACAAGGAGAAAATAACATATACTACCCCTATGTGGATAGTAAATTGCAATTGTTTTTACAGGAGTTCCGCCAAAAATCTCTAGATTGGGAGAAACAGCGTTTGCATTACCAGCAGCAAGTGGCATCGCTGGAAACGCAGAGGAAGGCTTTGGCTGAGCAGTCCGAGCTCATTCAGGTACAGTTAATGGATGATGAGTTGTTTGCCTTGGAAGGCTGGAGAAAGGATTTATGGCAATCTGCTGAGCCTCAGTTCAGGTTGCTACGCAAATGACCTTGAATCTCATGACCCTGTCTTGTTCAATATGTACTCATAGCTGGGAGATAATCTGAAATCTGTTCAGCTGCTGGAAGGTAAATACTCCCCTCTGTTGTTAAGTCCCCCCACAGGAAAGGCCATGGAAAGACTTTGCAGGGGGCAATTACATAGAATGAAATTTTAAAGATGCTATTTTGTTCAAAGCTGTATGCCTTCAGATAGTCCAGGCATCATACGATATACATGAGGAGTTTAAAAAAATAGCATTTTCTACAAAATGTTTATGTGGCAAGATAACCAGAGGAGTGTAAATTCCTTTGTTCTGCTGTTTATGTCTCATGGAACAAGACCACAAAGCCTCTGCTGTTTTAGGAAAATTAATCCGTTCATTGAGGGTAGCGCTGCTGTAGCTTAGTTTAGTTTAACCGATCAGGTGCCAGCTGTGAAGAGGCCTGCCTTGACACAGTCACCGCAGAGACACTGATAAGAAGCTCTTGCTGGGAGCTTTGCACTTAATGGACTCCAGAGTTGCTGTTGAATCGAAGTTCTGCCTGGCAGAAGTTGGCAGTGATGGGATTGAAGTTGACACTGATGGTAGCTTTGTGGTGGCAGATTTGTTTGGACAAAGTGTGAGCCTTTTGAGAGAAATGCCTTGTTGCAGCAGTGTGTGTATATGCTTGATAGCGCAGTCTTCTGAAAGCAGACTTCCTTGGAGCCTTGGTTGGCATGCTGCTTTGATGACAGGTCAGCAGAAAAATAAGAAATAGGGTTTTAATTTCCAAAGTAGTCTGGGTGTGCCTAGGGCTGTCATATGCACAACTAATTGAAAATAAGCCATATTGAAATCAAAATGGTTGTTTGAAGGAACACGTTTGTAGGATTGGTTGTAGGACTTTAGATAAGTATCTGCAGTTAAAAACAGTGTGCACTTACATTGGCCTGCAAGCCTCAGCTGGAAAAAAGGGAAGAAGAGCCATCTGGCACAAAGGATCATATGTCTGCTTTTTATTTTCCTGTGATAGCTGATGGGGGCAAGGTCTGCAGATTCCATATATGCTTTTGCCCTATCCCATGTGTCAGTTATGGTGACCATCCCTACAGAGAAAGAGTGCTAGATTCCTTTGATAACCTTTGCTGCAATTGGAGAAGCTGCTCTTGCAAAGCCCTTGACACGCCTTTTCTCCAGAAGTAGTGTCATGCTCAACACGTACAAGTCAGGCAGACAAAAATAGAACTAAATACCTTTCATTTAAGCTCATTCACGTGCCTTAAAGAACATTTTCTTCCCTTGTTCCATCCCAGGAGGCTTCCCTACACATTTTCGCCAAAATGGTGGAGGGTTGCCTTGTTGGCTGCCATAACCACATCTGCTTTCTGTGCAGTGTCAGCTTTTTACTATGTTCTCTGAAGCACAGAAATGTTGGCAATTTCAGCTTCCTTGTTAAGCTGATAGGTGAGCGGTGTGAGGAAAACTGTGAATTTATGAGCTATCAGACAGATCAGGAACATAACATGTAATATTCTCTTGTCTGCTATTATATACAGAACATCAATTTCAAAAAGTACTTCTAATTAAAGTATCGGTAACTTTTCTAATAGCAGGATGCCCCTTGTATCTATTAAAATTGGCACCCTTCTAAGAGTTAGTGAAATCTTCAATCTGCGATATATTCAGGGTCCACAGATTTTGGCTGGCCATGGTATTCAGCCCTGCTCTTTGCCAGAAGAAAGGGTTATGCCATTGCCTATGGTATCATACTGGGAATGCCTATGAAGCCCACCATAACTGTGTGAATGAGTCCTGTCTCTCCTTGGCTTGGAGTTGGGGAAGACGATAAGGCCTCACCCCTGTTGTGTCTATTATTAGAGGTGCTTGGAGCACCTCTAAAAATCCAGTACAGCTGCAGGAGTGGGAAGGAGAAGGTGGGACTCTACCCTTCAGTCGCACTAGGCTTCAGAGGGATTCAGAACATGACTACAGAGGCAAGATGTTGCTGTCCTGTCCTTATCCTTTCAAAGTGCAGTGACACTTTCTGGATCCTATGTATTTCTAAACTTGACACTCCCTGAAGAAACTAAACTGTGGAGAAGTCAGGGTTAGTAATAGTTGCCTGTCCCTCAGTAGTTAACTGTCTGTTTGGTCTATTGAAATGGGATTTAAGATGATGGATTTGAATATGAACAGCCAAAGATTTAGCTCAGTCATAGTCATATATTGGGTGGGTTGATAAAAGTATTATTATGAATTGTCACAGTCAAATATTTGACTGGTAGATGGTGTTCTGCAATTCAAGATCTAGCCAAGTCCTTGGAAATTGCAGACGTATCTTCACAGGATTCTTGCTGTTCCAAGCAACGGTGTCTTCTGAGGCTGAGCTGGTGTTACATGTTTAATGTCCAGGTATTTCTTGAGACTTCTGGGCACTGCTCCAGGGCTCCAATGACAACTGGCATAATGGTAACCTTCTTCTCCCAGAACAAAGTTTGAATCCAGTGGCAGACCAAAAAGGTTTTATTCAAAGTATAAGCTTTCATGTGCAAGCACACTTGTGTCTGACGGTGTGCTTGCACACAGAAGCTTATACTTAGAATAAAACTTTGTTGACTCACCCTTTATTTTACTGCTTCAGACCAACACAGCTACCCACCTGAATCTTTCTTCTCCCAGAGGCGCTCCATTTGTAAGTCTTGGTATTTTATGATCTTCTGTTCTTTCTTTTCTACTCTGCTGTCTGCAGCGATTGCAGTGTCAATGATCCAAACTCTGTTTCTCATTTCCCCCCCTGCAATTGTGATATCTGAGGTGTTACGCTCCCAGGGGTGGGAAATGGTCAGTAAAATCAGTAAAAGTCAATTTTTTCATCTTGGTCAGTAATTTGTAAGTTTTTTTAAAAATTGGTCAGTAAAGTCAGTATTTCTTTGATTTTTGTGAATGTAGTTTGTGTTTTTCTGTTTTCATTACTGCATTTTTGGGGAAACATGATGACTTCCCAGTGAGAAGACAGATTGTTTTCAGTTTAGGTATGAAGTACTTTAAGGACTTTGTTCCTAAGAGTAAAAATGCTTTGGTGAAATCTTCCACAAAGTATAGAAACATAATTAACCTCTTAAAACATTAGACAATGAAAGTAGAGGTGATGGATATTGTGGGATTCAACATGGCACAGCTCATGCTAGAAGGAGTTGAGAAAGCAATGGAAGAAGAGGACAAGGGGAAAAATGCTTGTGGATGCAGTGCAGAAAACTGTTGAGAAATGAAAGAATTCATGAATAACTTTATTTATTTATTCAATTTATACCCTGCCCTCCCTGCCGGAGCGGGCTCAGAGCAGCTTACAAAGAGATTAAACATATAGGTAACAAATTATATACAATCTTAAAACAAATAATAAAACTCTACATTATCATAAAGTGCTAGTAAGTAATCAGGTACTTATAAGAATGCTTACAGAAGGCAAAACCAATACTAGTGTTGTAATCAGATCTATGTTGGTGGTTGGCTCATCTTGGTCTCTATATTTAGGCAAGAGCACAGGCTGCTGGTGGTAAGCCAAGGACCAGGGCACTGTCACTTCTCAGTTATTTGATGTTATTTGGTGTGGCTCCTTAGTCAAAGGCCTGGTGGAAGAGCTCCATCTTGCGGGCCCTGCAGAAATGTAAAAGATCCTGAGGGCCCTGATCTCTTCTGGGAGCTCATTCTACCAGTACGGAGCTACCACTGAGAAGGCCCTGGCCCTGGTTGTGGCCAGCCTGGCATCTTTAGGATCTGGGAGGCCAATCCATTTTGTGACCCTAAGCGCAGTGCTCTCTGGGGAGCATTGGGGAAAGGCATTATCTCAGGTATGTGGCCGCTGACTATAAAGGGCTTTAAAGGTAAGTACCAGCACGAAGTAAATTTGGTATTCTATCAGCAGCCAGTACAGTGCTTTCAGCACAGGCTGGATGTTGTCCGGCATAGGGAGGCCCATCAGAAGCCTGGCTTCAGCATATTGCACTAGGTGTAGCTTCTGGATTTGGGTCAAGGGCAGCCCCATGTAGAGAGCATTACAGTAGTCCAATCTCGAGGTGACCATCGCATGGATCACTGTCACCAAGTCGTTGCATTCGAGGAAGAGAACCAACTGCCTAATCAGCCAGAGGTGGTAGAAAGGATCTAGAATGGAAGTGTCATCCAAAAAGCTCTGTAGCTGAATTGCCACAGCCCTCTCAATTATTTTGCCCTAATAGGGCAGATTGGAGACCGGCCGGTAATTAGCCAATTTGGCCAGATCCAGAGGGTCTGCTTTTTCAGGAGGGGACGAACCACAGCTTCCTTGAGTGCCCTAGGGACCTGTTCTTCCGAGAGGGACTTGTTGATAATCTCCCTTAGGGCATCTCGAAACCCATCACGGCCAGCTTTAATTAGCCATGATGGGCACGGGCCAAGGCAGCACGTGGTAGGGCATACAGTTAAGAGCAGTTTGTCAACTTCTTCCAGGCTGAGCAGACTGAAATAATCCATAACCTGACTAGAAGACATGCATGGAGCCTCGAGTTCACTTACTGTCTCAACTGTGGTGGGGAGGTCATGGCGGAGCGACAGGATTTTATCTGCAAAGTAGCTCTCAAAGGCCTCACAGCCAGTGTCCAATTCCCTAACATTTGGTCTGCCTTGTGGCAGAACAGTCATAGAACAAATTATTCTAAATAATTGGGCTGGGCATGAGCTCGCATAATTCTCTGACTGCCACCTCATAGGAGCTCATATACGTCCTATAAGATGTTCTTTTGACTTCATCGCGGGCGCATCGCTGCTGTCTCTCTAGCCGTCTTAGCCTTCGCTTCATCAGCTGCAACTCCTTGGTAAACCAAGGAGCCAGCCTAGAGTGAGGATGCAGAGGGCATCGGGGAGCGATCTCATTGATGCCCAGAGAAAAAGC